TACAGGGGAGTTAAGATTTGTTTTTATTATAAACAAAGCTATAGTCTTGTTTGTGGGAGTCCCAGAGAACTGTAGATTAACATATGAGAAAAAAAAATAATGCCATATTTGAAGGCCATATATGTTTAGTCCTTAAGCATTGTCCTGTTACCAGAATTTTGGGGAGTTCCTTTGTGGTCACCAAATGATAGGAGGGAAATCAGGGTCTGCTTTTGGGGTCTTTAAGAAAATAATTTAAGGATGGGCCCAAACAGAGGCTCAAGGACAATTTTATTAGGAGTTTAAGAGAAAAAAAAAATCCCAGGACAAGCAAGCTGTAAATCTCAGAGGCAATTGGAGGGGTGGAGGAGGAGAGGGAAAAGAGCCATGCCATATAAGCTGGTATGAAGGTCAGGCACATGGTGGACAAGCAGCCAGGTGGTGGGGAGGGAGCTTTAGAGAAAGGGTGAAGAAGCCCAAAGTATGAGGAAAAGCATACTTAGACTCTGGCCAGCATCTGAAAGAAAGTGACAAAAAATGAAAAAGATAAAGTTATGCCTTTCTGACTCAGGCCTCAGAATAGTGGACAGATCCAGGCCAAACTTGATAATGGTTCTTAGGGACTGCCCTGGAGGATAGAAATTCTGGAAAGGAAAAGTACCTTGTCTTATTAAAGAAATAATTATTTGTGGGGCTAGAGAGATGGCTCAGCTGATAAGAACACTGTTCTTGCAGAAGACCCAGGTTCGAATCCTAGCACCCACATGGCAGCTAACAACTGCCTGTAGCTCCAGTTCCATGGGATCCGACAGCCTCTTCTGTCCTCTGTGGGCACTGCATGACACGGGTGCACTTACCTACATGCAGGCAATACATGCATACACATAAAATAAAAATAGTAAAATTTAAAAAAAATAATTATGTGCCTAGCTCTGTTGCAGGGCTAAAGGTGAACCCGCCTTCCTAGGGGCGGTCTTGTCTTCCCGAGGAGTGGGCCCTAGCCAGGTCACTGATAGACAGGTCCAGCTAGAATGTTAGTCTCTGCCCAGGCCTGAGATTTTATTCTCCTGACCAGAGGCATTTTCCCTTAATAGGCCTTTAGTGCTACTCTAACAATCACTCTAAAATAATTTAGGAACCAGATTGGGGACCTTATCTGACTAGTTTCTATTTATTGTTCTGATAACATGTAGTAAATGTTATTATCTTTTATGTATGGATTTACAAATAAATATTTAGATATTTGTTTTTGTTCACATTTTTATTACATTTTTACTGTGTGTGTGTGTGTATGTGTGTGTGTGTGTGTGTGTGTGTGTGTGTGTGTGTGTGTGTGTATGTGTGTATGCTTGCTCGCTCTCTCATGGGCCACAGTGCCACCATGTGGAGCTCAGGAATTGAACTCAGGTTGTTGGGATTGGTGACAGGTGCCTTTTATCCATTTATCTCACTGGCTTCTTTTCTTTTTCTTTTTTCTTTTTTGGTCTTTTTGAGACAGGGTCTCCCTGTAGCCCCAGGTGGCCTGGACCCAGCTATCTCACTATATAGACCAAGCTGGCCTCCATCTCACAGAGATCCTCCTGCCTCTGCCTCCCGAGTGCTGGGATTAAAGGCCCATGCCACCACACCCAGCTTCTGTTTTCATTTTTAGTACAAAAGTATTAAGAGATGTCATTCAATAAGCAAATGTCTGTTTGGAGTTGTTACTAGATTTTAGAATTACAGCCTCTGCTCCAACAGGTCAACTTCAGTCATTCATCCTTAATATGATGAATAAAAAGCAAAATTAAAAGTGAAAAGCAGAGGGGCTGGAGAGATGTCTCAGTGGTTAAGAACACTGAATGTTCTTGAAGAAGACCTGGGTTTGAATCCCAGCACCCATATGGCAGCTAACACTGTCTGTAACTTCAGTCCCAGGGGATCCGACAGCCTCTTCTGACCTCCGTGGGCATGTACAACATGGGTGTACTTACATACATGCAGGCAATACGCTCATACACATAAAAAAAAGTGAAAAACAGAAAAAGATTTATTTAATGTGACAATGTTGGGGAGAGGAACAAAGAGATTCAATGCTCACCCAACTTCTCAAGTCCACCTTTGGGAGGGAAAAGTTTAAGTAGAAGGCAGAAGACATGCATAACTAATCAGTCTGGCTAAGGTGCAGTCTTGCTCAGCTTGGTCTCAGCCCCAGTCTTTCTTCCAAGGTCACAGGCAGGTAGTAAATCTTCCTCCAGGATGCAAATGCCTCCTCTGGCTGCCCCTAGGGCATCAGCCTTTTCTCCTCCATGGAAGAGATTCCTGGGGAATCTCTCGGGGTTCTTTGTCTCAGTATTCTGAAAGCCAAAGGGAGGGACCTAGGCACCTGGGTTATAGAGTGTGCACATTTTTAAGAATTTGAAAGGAAGTCAGGAGTGGTGGCACACGCCTTTAATCCCAGCACTCAGGAGCCAGAGGCTGACTGATCTCTGTGAGTTCAAGGCCAGCTTGGCCTACATAGTCAGCTCCAGGCCAGCTGAGGCTACAGGGAGACCCTGTCTCAAAAAGACCAAAAAAAAAAAAAAAAAAGAAAATTGCAAAGGAGTTTTGCAAAAGAAGATTTTGGAAAGTGCTGACTTAGAGGTTCGTGAGCAGATCCAGTCAGTAGCATTCCATGCAATATAAATAAATGCTACTCCTCTTGTGACACCCAAGGAGCAGCTAAAGAAGGAACAGGCTGTAAGGGGACATGGTAGGCTTCAGAAGGGACTCTTCAGAAAGTGCTTCCCATAGTTTCCTAAGAGTGCTTTGTGATGTAAGAGCAAGACACTATATTGGAGTTTTATTTGTCTTATAGACCTTTAGCATTATATTTGAAGTTTTATTTGTCTTATAGACCTTTAGCATTCTTTAGGCCTACAAAGTGAACAAGGTACTACTTGTTAGGGTTTGGATAGCCCCGCCCCTTCACCAACAGTGCCTCATGACCTCACAAGCCCCTGAGAAAAGAGAACCAGTTGAGTTAGTAGGCACCCTGGTGTTTGAAGTCAAGAGAAGACTTTTCTCCACTGTTTGGCCAACACAGCAGGCTTCCCCTTTGTTCTCTAAAGGGGGCAGGTTTTAACTGTCCTGCTCTCCAGCTCCCTCCCCCAACTTTAAAAAAATGTATTTTTCCCCCCTCCTCCCCTCCCCCCCCCCAGAAGCCTCCCCTGGGCAGACATTCCCTGCCTGGAAGGGAATCTGTCCCAGGTGTTTCTTTGCTAATAAACTCTATTCCCCTGGAGTTTTATCTATGTCTTGGTGCTTTCTCCCCATCAACCCCATTCATTCATTGCCTACTTTACCCATCACTATTCTATGCTCTAATTATAACTGCAGAAACCTATGCCACCCCCTGCTTTTTCCAGCCTGCCAGGCAGGAATGGCCATATTCTGAAGAAAGACTTGTTCTCCCGTCTTTGGTTATCAGACTATTGAATGAATGGACCCCAAGAAATTATAATTTCCCCAGTGAACTCCGGCTGTGAGAAGAAACACCTGAAACCTTTGGTATACCCAGAGGAAGAACTTGACCCTCAAGAAAGATTTGCAACTCATCAGATGACATTGCTGGACAGACTAGGAGCCCAGACAAAGGTGGGCAGGGGACCACACCTTAGCCAGACTGCTTAACTATGCATATCTGTTTAAATCTGGAAAATGGACTG